CCGTGCTTTCGGGAGAGGTGCGGTAGTCCCGAAATAGTTCACGCATATACTTTCCACGCGAACCGAGGTTCACGCACACACCCCCCGTGCTTTCGGGGGAGGTGCGGTAGTCCCGAAATAGTTCACGCATATACTTTTCACGCAAACCGAGGTTCACGCACACCCCCCCCCCGTGCTTTCGGGGGAGGTGCGGTAGTCCCGAAATAGTTCACGCATATACTTTTCACGCGAACCGAGTTGTGTTTTGGTAAAGCATATAAAGTTATAGAAGTTGTGATTTTCTTTAAAGCAGGGCACACACACGTATATATTAGTTATTTATGCCTTTCAATACTTAAAATAGCTGCTATATTTTCGAAACTTTTTTTGTTAATAACTTTTTAACGAATAACGAGCGACGGCTAAAACCTTCCGAAGGTCACTCAGGAGGGTGATCTTGACAACATATGACAAGGTCAAGGTCATCGGAGGGTGGTCCCTATTACTGCATAATTACCCAAAAAATTCTCCCCAAAAAACAGCCTCTTGACCAAACGACCCCCTTAAATTGTTACTGTAATCGCTAGGGTTTTAGTAAAATATCGCGATAGACATGCACGAAAACATCGCATATATATGTACAAATATGTTGTGGATAGGTTGGTTATTGACTAATTACAGCATAACTACATTTTAAAAATATAGCCTAAGAAAATCAATTTTTGTTGTATTAATAGTTTATGTAGTTACCTCGCAGTAATGTCTAAACAATTTTATTTTATTTCATAATTTTTTCGCACTTATTATAAGACAATTTCAGTTCTTAGTTATTACAGTTACCTATATATATTATAATCTATTTATAATAAAAAAGTAGTTTTTATTACAACAAGTGAACAAGAACAACTCGCTTTTTGTTTAAAAATGATATACAAGCAACACAATTGTTGGTATAAGAGTTCATCACATTAGTTTAATTGGGACATATACAGCTAATAAATTGTTTGTATCAATGTGAGATTTCCATAGTTGAGAGTTAATATTTATTATAAATATACCTTTATGTCTATAGCTCACAAAAATGTAAGAGTAGTCTGGACACATGGCCTTTTGAGTGCGCAGGAAGCTATTTGGAAAGGCATACCAATGATCGTAATGCCTTTCTTTGGAGATCAAAAATTCAACACAAGAATATTAGTAGCTAAAGGTGTTGGCATATACTTGGACATTAAAACTTTGTCCACGCAATCCATATTACACGCAGTTAAAGAAGTACTTTACAATGAAAGGTTTCATATTTTGATCATGTTTTAATAATTATTTTAAACAGTAAATATATTAACAATACAGCTACATTTCAGATAATTACTAATATTTACAGATAAACTTTAATATTTAATATAGTATAATCGATTTACAAATTCCTGTTGCTATTCCTGTTGCCTACAATTGCTTATTAAATTGTAGATTATAAAATTTGGCTTTTCTGTTTATGTGTCTTGTCATATGTATTTGGTTTTTATTTCTTTAACTGAAATGCATTTATTAAAATGTAATTATTTATTACATTATTAATAGTAAAACATTTTTTTGTAAAGTTATATGAGAAATATGAAACAATTATCCAGCGAATTCCGGGGTCGGCCAATATCACCATTAGATTTAGCTGTTTGGAGCATTGAATACACCGTCCGCCATCCAAATGGAACTTTAGTAATGCCGCTGAAATCTTAGAGCTGGGTGGAACAAAATCTAATTGATGTCTACGCATTTTTGTTCCTTAATTTCTTCATAATTAGATTAGATATACTTTATTGTTCCCCTATGGGGTTACAATAGACTTCCGTTACATGACTCTTTAGCTCGTACTTATTTCTATCTTATTCTATCTTATTCTACTTATCGCTGTATCCGCACGCACGCACGCACGCACGCACGCACGCACGCACGCACACACACACACACACACACACACACACACACACACACATCGCTCACATTTTCTTAAACTTTATCTCTAACTTACTTTCTATCTTACAATCCCTTATATCTATCTTATTGTCTAACGCCCTCTCCCCCCAAGGACTTCCGCTTTCTTTCTTTCTCATTTTTTCTTCCTTACTTCTCTCTTTCTGCTCTAATTCATTTATCTTCATTTACTTTTTCTCTCCCTACCTCTCTCTCCTCTTTCCCTCTTTGTCTTCTTCTTGCTTTCATCTCTCCCACCACGTTCCCTCACTTTTTTCCCATCTCATACATCTTTCCCATACGTGTTCCCAGGTCCCCTTTTTCTGAGATATCCTACAAATTTCTTCATAATATTCTGAATTACGCAAGATATAAACAAGCGTAAGTCGTAGAAACATTAACAGGCTTTGCGTGCAGTTGCTGCATAATGTTAATGTAAAGAATAAGTAAATATAACGTAAATATAGAAAATTTTGTATTAATTGCATTGATATTGTAATTAATAATAAATTATGTTATACAGAATTGTAAAATAAAAAAAAAATTGAAACCGATATCTCTAAATTTGCGGAAGTTAAAGCAGCCACATCATTTACAAGATGTACCTACATACACACACACACATTAAAAAAAAAATGTATTTTTCGACGTTTTAGAACATTCTAAACACATTGGCAACGGCAACTCCAAACAATTTTTTTCATAGATATCTTATGCAAAGCATAATATATCCTAAAGCATATCCTTCAGAAGATCTCGTAAGATATTTTATGTAAAGCCAACGGATATGACAGAATATTTAGATATTGTGAGATTATAATAGGATATCTCACGATATCCTATTGGAATATCCCGGGCAGAACCTGGGGTATCCGTGGGATCGTATTTGAAAATCTGGGACAATTTGGGATATCCCCAAGATACAGTGTGCTGTGTGGACTGCTTTAACTAAGTATAAATACAAAGTATATTTTTGGTTAAAGCAGAGAATAGGGGAGACCGGGGCGGAGTCGTCACTGGGGCGGAGTCGTCACTACAATTATCTGTATGTTGGGTGAACTCGCCATTAATATTGTAAACACTACTTATGGTGCCCATGTGACCAAGGGAGTTTAGTGAGATTATATCCCATGTTGTAATTTTCATTAAGGTAAACGTGTTTTTGGAGGTCAAAACTAAAATTTTTTGCGCGTCAAAAATTTTAAATATTTTAAATATTATTTTCTCTCCGAATCTCGAGATAAGTGATTCTGAAGAGTAATGCTGAACACAAATCCAGTAAAATTTTTTTACCAGGTGAACAATAAAGCAATATAGACTAAAAATGTCCTATAAATTTTGTAGCCAATGGTTCACTTTTTACAACGGTATACCACATTTTACTAAAATTATTTGTTTTGTTGTTAAAAATCGGCACCAAAAAAATAGTCACGATTTCGCCCCGGTCTTCCTTATAAAATTGCATTTTCTTTAATAAAATTAAAAAAATTTTTTTTTTTTAATTTTGCTTCCAACATATTGCTTCCTTATAGAGGAAGCTTTGTTTTAGATATTGTGTTAGAAATACAGAGATGTCGATAACTTTTGGATATGGCTACAGCCATTTATTGTATCAATAATATAATCTTGCGGTTCCATGAATGAATACTAGATGGCAGGTTGTTTCCGCCTAGTAACTATTGCAGGCGGACGCGCGAGCAACGCGACGCACCGAGTTCCGCTCACGCTAGCATCACGTGACAAGAAGGCGAGTGGAGGGGATGCGCAAGCACGAACGTGCAGAGAGACGATCCCGGCCATTCTCGACTATTCGGTCAAAAGTGAAACAGTTCGAGTCACGTACCGGTCATTCTGCCACGAGAATCTTTTATCGAGAACATGTTCAAGTTCAGTTTAATACTTATCGCTTGTACCGTATTAATTATTCAAAGGTATATTATTGCCCTTGTCGTTGATAGTGTCGTTTTCAACGCTAATGTCGTCTTCAACGCTCGTGTTGTATGAATTGCTCATGTTGTAATGTATTTCGGTGCCGTGAATTCACACACGAGTCCGTAAAACTTAGTTATCATTCGAATTACAAATAACGTTTTTGAACGCGTAAATGAAGAAAGAAAAACGACGTATATTCCGGGCTCAGCCGAGCCTTCACTTGACGGTGGGCATTCGAGCGATATATATTGGGAATCGAGAGCGGCCATCATTAACTTTGTTCCTCTCACGCAGCGAGATGGAATAGCCGCCATTATCCTGATTATTTGGCTCGCTTACAGCGAATGAGTTTCCCACTCTCAGTGGATGATTTTCCGCACAAATAAATGTCGGATTATCTATAAATAATTGGTGAATGTTGCAGATTCCACGATAAGGTAACATTTGGATTTATAATATCAACTATTCGGTTCTTTCGTCAGATATTTCCCTGATGAAAGTGATACTTTACAAGTGAGCACGTGCTAATTCAAATATTCGGTTACAGGATATAACGTTATTTTCTTATGATTATCCTTAAAGAAGGATTCTCATGATTAATTTTGATTAATAAGAAAAGGAGATAAATTCTTATCTCGGGACGTAAATTCAGTGGCATTCTAATTAATACTTCTTATTGATGTGCATACAAGGATTAAAGTTATCCTGAAGTTATATTCCTTGTGTTTCATATACATTAAAGACTTATATTTCAATTACTTTATAATATTCTAATAATTATCTTGCGAATGAATATTATTCATTATCTAGTATTACGTTCATGCTGTGGTGAATTAATGTGTCAATCAAAGACTGCCTAGTACAAGATTTAGTTCAGTAAACTCAGTGAGAAACTTATCGCTTATGGTTTTGTTGTTGCTCATGTCATGTGTATAGCTTATGTTGTAATAATCGCTTATGATGTAGTATAATGCTTTGCTTTGCCGTGATTTAGAAACGAGTTTGGTAATACTCAATCAATATTAAACTTACAAATAATTCATTTAATAGAAGGATAAGAGTTATTCATTAATTAAAAATAAAAGATTGATGCATTATTTCCCAGATTATACAAATTTTATCTGAAGTGATATTCTTGTATTAATTGATTTATGTTTATGTTTCCAACGATCCTTTCTTTAGAGAATAAGGACTAATTCTGAGCTTGACTATGTCAAGAAAGATTATAAGAAAAAATACTATGACAATTTTCTTTTAATGAAGCTTTTATATGATAAAGAAAAGCATTAGTAAAACTTCAAAGTATATTAGGATACATATTTAAAGAAAGGATTGTCCTATGATAACCATTTATTTGTTCTTTTATGCATTTATTGTACTCACATTGTATTTTATATTATCTATGTACAATTTTGTTCACGAATACTGAGAAGGTTTTAGGGCAGTTTCCCTTCTCCTATGCAACAAATGTTGGTATTCTTTGTATAGTTCTGCCCACTTTCAACTTTTCTGGATTACATTTATGTGTCTCGACCAAACGATATAATTAATCGTCTTACGAACTCATTAAATCAACGATTCTATTTTTTAATTCGAATGTCGTTTCTCCTTCTCCACCATCCTTAGCTCACGCAGCATACGAGGCGTGTACATATTGTTTTCATTAACTTCTAAAAAATTTTTAAAAGAAATTGTTGGAGCCGTTTTCGAGATTTCGAGGTCTATTACTAGCTACAAAACTGCTTCTGTTCATTACCGATAACTCCCGTTCTTATATATATTAATATTTTTTAATGATTTATTTTTTAAATAACCATAAAAAAATATAAAATTATGTGGTTTTAAATATCAAAGTTTTAAATACTCAGAATTTTTTATTTCTTAAATATTTAACTTAAAAAAAGGTCTATTTTTTTGCTTGTCAAGGTTGTCTACCTCCTTAAGGGGTTAGACCACCCTTGAAACCAAAAAATCATGCCCTATTTAATATTTATTTTTTGGGAAAACAAAACAACAAAGAGAAAATTTATTTATAGGGTTATATTGTGCATTAATTGCAGAGTAAAAAAAATTGTAAACAATTAATTTTAATAAAAAATGTAGGCAAGTTTGCGCAGCCTCTCTCGCGGGTTGGGTACAAATTAGGGATTTGCTAATTTTGATTTGTTAATAAATGGCGAAAATAAAAAAAAAAGTTATTTTTTCACCTGTTTTTAGTTACTCTTATTGTTATATTTAAACTGATTATTATTATTTCGCAAAACGCCTACGTAGGCCGGAAACTATTAAGTTGTTATTAATAAAAAAATTTTGTTTGCTGCAGGGGGACAAATATTATGGCCGCTGTCCCTACTACTGTTTGTACCCAACCCGCGAGAGAGGCTGCGCAAACTTGCCTACATTTTTTTATTAAAATTGATTGTTTATAATTTTTTTTTACTCTGCAATCAATGCACAATATAACCCTATAAATAGATTTTCTCTCCATTGTTTTGTTTTCCCAAAAAATAAACATTAAATTAGGGCATGATTTTTTGGTCTCAGACTCCCTTAATCATTTTTTTTTATAAATTATTTTTTGATAAAATAGTATAAGTTAGTGATTCCTTTTATTAATCTTATATTTTTAATTATTTTTGTTCATAAATTCGATACTTTCAAGGAAGTATGATTTAAAAGGCCCATAGGTACGACCGCGGTTGCCTAAATTGTACCTTTTGCAGCATGTTACAAAAAGACCTACATGCGGCATGTTACAAAATAACAAATTAATTTATTGATACAAATTAATAATATTGATAAAAAGTTAAACATGTAATACTAGGTGCCTGAAACATCAAGCTACAATTTCCAACGTTTATTTGCGTACACATCACTACCAAATAAGAAATATAATAAAAAAGAACTTAAGCATTCGGCAACCCAAATAGCAAAATGACGTTAAAATGGTGTTAAATTTTGGTCATAAAATGACCAATTAAACGTCCTAAATAGGGTCTCATGAGACCCAAAAATGACGTCGATATGTCACGTCAATGAGCCATCATTTTTTGACGTCTTATTGACGGCAAAAATAGGATCAATGTACGACTTACCGGTTTCTAGAAATGTTTTTTATGAAATTAAAATGTTAAAATGTCTACTTGATAAACGTTTATAAAAAAACGTTCTTTTTTTATCTAGGAAAAAAACGCTTTTTTAACTGTTTCTTTACATATCATGTGCGTATTGCCCCGCTCTCTCAAGGCGGTCACCCATCCTAGTACAGTACCGCGCCCGTGTTGCTTGATTTCGATGATCCAGTGGACAGTGATGATCTTCTGACCCCGATGCTTCCTTATTAACTGCACTTGTCTATGACGTACATCTTTAAAATGTTCAAGAAGCTTGTAATGATATCTTTTTGATAGCTATAACACTGCATGAAATAGTTATCATAAAACTATAATTACACGCAACTACATCCACTTATACCATAAATTCACCACTTTAATCATAAAGTTGCGAAACAAACATATTGTAGTTAAAAAATTTTGTGGTTTTTATATTATTATTACTTTATTATACAATATAAAGAAGTAGTTATATTACAAAAAGACCTTATTTGGACGACTTTAAGACGTCTTATAAACGTCTATTATTAGTCGCCGACGTCATAGACCAAAAATGACTAAAAATAGACGTCATTATGTCGTCTTCTGACGTCACTTTGCTACTTGGAAACTCTCCCCTATAATGACCAATCATGTATTACGTAACCAACACTGATTGAATAATTATCTTGCATGTGAATGTCGTCATTCAATTTCAATAATAATAGCAATAGGGAGTGAATAGATACTGTGAATAGATAATGATTCGTTTATGTATTTTTCTTCTTTTTATTTTTATGATTGTACAGCTAAGTTGCCGAGAAAATCCAATATTATTAGCTTGTTAGATAAAGTAATATTATGATGAACGCTATTATCTCGAAATGAGAAGAGGGGGAATGCTATACTAAGCATGCTGATACATTCGGTCTTATCGTCTGATTGAGAGATCACGCGACAAGTTTCGCGCAACAATGTTAAGTCGTGTCATTTTGTTTGTTTGTTGTATCTTAATAGGTGATCTCGTGACAGCGTCGAAATTATTGTCGATTTTAGTGATAGAGCCTATTCAGTCGACTAGCCATCACGTTTGGACAGAGCATTTGGTTAAAGGACTGCTTCGCAGAGGCCATTATGTACACTCAATCAGCATACATGAGACTAAGGTTAAAGGAAAACTTGCGCAGAATTTGACGTACGCCGTGAGTAAATGTTATGAAATTTCAAATTTGGAAACATTTTGAGAGACATAAATCAATTAATTGCAATTTATAAAACAAATAACAAAAAATATTACTTTTTTATTTTAAAATATTTTCTCTTTTATATAAGGTATGCTTTCGGAGATGCTAATTTATTATATTTTTATATCTCTTCTCCTGTATGGCTATTATTCTCAGGTTTTCGATTTGCAAACTAATGAAGAAGCTGAGGATTATAACCCAGTTGAATGGGAACAGTACAGCGTACTTTATACGGCGTATTTTACATATCAGTGGGGTATTCACGCATGTGACACAATGACAAATACTAAAGCAGCGAAAGAGCTTTTGGAAATGATTAAAACTATCGAGTTTGATGTTATAGTGCAGGACATTGGTTTAACTCAATGTTTCTATGGATTATGGGAGGTAAAGTCAATCAACTTTAGTGAACTTTAATTATTTAGTCTATTTTTAAACTGCAAGCAACTTAGCAAAATTGCCTTATAAATCAAGTGCGTTTACGTAGCAAATTAAAAGTATCTATACTCCATTCCACGAGAGAACATTAGTCCTCCGCGCATAGACGCGTGGGGAGAGCGACGAAGTGGGGAGAGCATGGCGCGCTTCTCAGTGCCGTATACGTATAAATATAACACGCTCGGTCCCGGGGCTATTGTGCTAGTCTACAATCTATTGTTTAATACGCGTATCAAAAATAGTGTATTTACGCTAATCAGGTAATGATTAAACTAATGTACTAGTAAACACACACACACTCACACAGAAACGCGCGTGCCCGTGTGAAGCCTTATCTTTCTTCTGTTGTCGCCGT